ACAGCCAAGCGAGAAGCAAGACCATTTGATGGGACCAACCACAGTACTAAAAAGCTAGATGGAAGGACTAGTGGAGATGCAAGGCTGGTGGTAAACCGATGGATCCTCTCTATCATGTTTTGGTGCTTATATGCAATGAGGAGCTGTGAAAAAAAAGCTCTAATGATTCTACAAGGAAGCGGCTAGAGAAGAAGTTTCCAAGTCAACCATGAGCTCATCCAAATTGGGATGTAGAAGAGTTGGGTTTAGTTCTAGCTAGTAAGTCATCAACCATGAAGAGGAGTCCCATAGGGCATAGACTCAAATGGTGGTGCAAAACAAGTCTCAACCAACACATTAAAACAATGAAGACAAAAGGCTATCTCTAAACCCTTAACTCTTTCAATATCTTTAATTCATTGCTCATATTTAATTCAGTTTAGTCATGCATTTAAAGTGAATTTGTCATGCTTAGAATCTGAATTTAGAGAATGATTTATTTGGATTTGTTTTTAGAGAAATGCCTTCAACTAATTTGGAATCATCATGCTTAATTTGTCATATTTAAATCTGTTTCTAGGAAATAAATTCATGGCTAAGATATGACATTTATCTTGTTGAAATATGGATTTATAAACTGAATATTAAACTGGTTGTGACATGTTTAAATTGAATTTCCATGTTTAAAATATGTTTTATATTCTTGTGTTAAATTGAGCTTAGTAAGAGACTAGTTCAATTTAAGTTTGTTCTCTTTTGTCTCAATCTAGCTTAATGTTATTCTTGTGGCCAATATACTTAAGATTTCTTTACATTTTTGGTTGAAGGTGCAAAAGAGAAAGAAGCCATCCAAAACCTAGAAGAGAGAAAGAGAACCGGTTGGATAATTGTAGCTTGACTCAAGGAAGATCAATCCATAGTGGTGACCGAGAAGGAGAAGGTTCTGAAGCGAGTATACACACGAAGGATTAGAGTCTCAACAAAAAGTCAAAGAAAGAAGCCAAATCCATATCACATTTAAACCATGGCCATAGCTACATAAATCAACCATGAAGACTATACTCTTTTTCCCTTTACAAAGTTTTGTCCCTAAAGGTTTTCTTTGTTAAGATTTTTTAATGAGGTAGTCGTTTGCGTGTTGCAAGCTTGGCCTTTGGTTCCGGGTGCCCAAGCTTGAGGGGGAGTATTAAAGAGGAAGAAGACAAAGGAGAACCTATGTGCGAAGTCCAGAAGACAAGGAAAGACCTTAATGGTGTTCGATCAAGATATGACACTCAACTAGGCTCGTGTAACTCCAAACTTAACCTCGGATATCTCTAAACTTAAGCTTGAGGGGGAATATTGAAGACTAATGTGCATATTGAGTATGTCAAGATAGAATAGACCATTATGTTCTACTTATATTGGTCTATTCTATATTGACTAAGTTAGGATAGTATAGACCATTAGGCTCGTCTTTACGGTGGTCTATACTATACATACGGGTAATGCTAAGGGAAAAAATAGATTAACATTATTTATAATATTAGCTTCCCTTGTAACCTTATCCCTTATCCCACCTACATATATGTGTGGATGTAAACCTAATGAAGTAAGAAGACTAGTTCTTTCTCTCTTCTATTCTTGGTTACTATTCAAATGTAACAGGTGTTGGGTTGGAGAAACCCTTAGTGGAGCTTGGAGCGTAGGACACCAGTGTAGTTTTGGGGGAAACGGGACTTTTCATACATGTACTCAACCAAGTAGTGTCAATTTCTACTTGTACAAACATGTAGTGTCAATTTAAATCTGTACTTTAATAAAATTCAAATTTCATACCTGAACGTTTCAAATCGAGCCGAATTTGAAGTACACGTTAACGGAGCTAACTCAACAATAACGGATGCTGACTCAGCCTCCGCGTATGTGATGATGTGGCAGCGTCTCCATACGATGTCGTTTTGCTTATTTGGCTTAGAAGAAAAAAATGTTGAAAAAACCAACATCCACATGGTTTGAACACAAGACCTCAAACACATTTAACAAGGAACTTAACCAGTTGATCCCACAAACATATTCGGAATACTATGAAACTTATATACTTATAACCCTCGACAAGGAGGATGAAGAATGCAAAATAATATGTACTAGATTCGGACCCGCACGTACGTGCGGGATTGATTTCAAAAATAAAATTTATTATTAAATATTAAAAAATATTACGTACGTAAAGGGTTATGTTTAGAAACGTAACTCTTAGGAATGTTATTAACATTTATAATGTAAATCCATACCAGTTTAGTATTTGATTTGTTTTTGAATCAGTTTAAACAAAAATAAAGATACAATTTGGTTTTGTTAAAGAGAATTGTTAAAACAAATGGTAAAAGAAATGTGGTTTCTCTATTCCGGGACATAAACCCAGTCCTATGCGTCCTAATATCTCAAGTTTTTCCATCTCATAACTATTTTAATAATAATTTACCTATTTGAGATTGTATATTTTAATCAAACATAGAAAATAGGTCAATGTTTTAAAACATAGAACTATATCATCGATATAAGTATAGATGCTATTGATATGTTTGGAATCTATATTTGCTCTTTGTGTCCCAATCCAACCGCGTTAAGATTATATGCATTTAAAATGCCTCTGCTAATTATTCTTGTTTATGGAAATCCAGCTTGTGCCTCTTACTCTAAATTGTTGCTTTTTTGCTCTAGTTTAGATCCATATTTCAATTCGTAGAGCTACGCACGATTAGGAATAGCAAAACAGGATTACTACACTCTCTGAAGAAAAAGTAGACAATTGAGTAAAAACAAATTTGCTGAATCTTTTGATTCACGTTTATAGTATAGATTAAATATATTCATTATCTTTTGGTCACAATGCTTCATTTACATAAACCATAACAATACTCTTGTTTTTCCAAACAAAAAGTTAAGTGGGAATACCGATAGCAATTAGCGTTCTTCAACAAAGGTAACTCTCTTGTTTCAATCTTGAATGTTTGTTTAGTGGGATGAAAACATAGACATCATCATACATGATTAGTATATAAAAAATTTACAACCAAATATAATTTATAGAAGAAAAACAACTAAAAACATTTGTCCCATGATGCTTCTTTCAATGTTATCTACAAAATTCCCAAAAAAAAACTGATGAGGATGGATAATATATGAACGACGAACAGTAATTAAGACTACTCATATTACAAATCTCTGTTAATGGTTTAAGGAGAAATCATATCAAGACTTCTCTGGTATTATCCAAATCTCAAATTAGTCACTTCAATGTTTTTGTTACTTTAGTATAAGCAACACTTACCAACAAATAATCTTTTATTTAAAATAAGTTTCTTACCTGATTTTTTTACTATAAAATGTGCCTATGCTTAGTACCCTGAAATTGTTTGATCCATAAACCATAGTACTTACTCGTAAGCACCTTGACATATGCCTTCTTCATTGTGTGATGCATTTTTGACCTCTTTCAACATTAAAATACATAAGATTAGTAAGTGGAATGAAAGATATAATTGAGTATTAGTTCTTATCTCATGTAGAGACTTACAATATAATTAATTAGCAAGAAAACGACTTAAATAGGTGTCTTCCAATTCACCATATTGCACCAAGACATTTGAGTAGTTTGAGGTAGGTGACCAGAAGGTGTAGCCAGATTTTTTTGCTGTCGTTTTCCTCTCTAGAGATGGCGAGAGTATTTGGTAAGTTAAAAATGATTAAAGATATCACTACAATATTTATACTTAACAAAACCGGTTGATAATTTATAGATAGTTTTAAAGGTTTGATATGAAGAAATCTTTTATACAATCTCATTAAGCACGTAAAATTTAGTTTGAAAATAGGAATATACTCGTAACAATCCGAATATAGTAAAAAGAATATCTATATTTTATAAATAAATATAAAAGTCTATTAGAAATATGTATAGATTTCCTAATGGTTCGTTGATGTTATGAAATCTTTTCTGAATTGGTAGTTACGTTACTAAAATACAGAAATATAAGTTTAAAATGATGTGCTTATTGATTTTTATAAACTGTATTTTCAATTCTTTCCTCAAAATTTTGGCTTTTGAAATCAGTATTAGATATTTGAAGTATAATTTGGATAATGATTAATATTTGATTTTCATTATTGTAATCTATATTATTTCCGTCATACCAAAAAAATATATATATATATATTATTTCTGAGTATATATATAAATTTAATAGAAATAAAGATCAAGAATTTTATGAAGTGCGATTAATTATGAGGTGGAATTGATTGTAAATATAATTAAACTGTTTACCTAATATCAAAAACGTTTATTTACCTAATTTAAACTGTTTACATATATATAATTAATACTATAAATATCAATTTATTTTAAACACTTTCAAAAATTAAAATATTATAATATTTTGAAATATATTTGTTTAAATTAAGTAAAATGTATTAGAAAAATCTAAAATATGTTTACAAATATAAAATTTCGAATTTAATAGGCCACATTTTATGGTAACAAATTTATTATGGTTTCCAGGAATATTGGTTAGTTATTAGTTTTGATTTTTTATTTATTTTAAAGCATTTTTTTATGTGAAAATCTGTCATTAATTCTGTTTGGCTATAGGTTTAGGTCACATTTTATTTCATTATTTTGATTTAATCTTGTTTGGCAACATTTACAAAAAGTGCTCACCTTTTAATAGTATAGAAGATTAATTTCAAAATAATTACTGTATATTAAATTATCCTAACTTATATTAATTTCTACTAGCATAGTAGATGACATTAAGGTTTTTATCCTATCTTAGACTAAGCGCCGTTCCAACCACAAAGTCACTCGCATCACACATAATCTCAAAATGTAGTTCCAATCCAGAGGTGAAACTATTGGAGCACTAACCAAATCATCATGTATCTTCTTGAAAATTTCGAGACACTCCTCATCAAACTTAAACTCAAAAGCAACATCTTTACTTACAAGCCTTGTGAGTGGTCTTGCGATATTGGAGAAGTCTTTAATGAGTCTTCTTTAGAACCCAACGTGATCCAAGAAACTTCTTATCCTTTTGATTCGAGTTTGGCGGTGCTAAGTTGGTCACTACTTCAATTTTGGCTCTATCAACCTCAATCCCCTTCTCGGATATCTTATGACCCAAAACTTTGCCTTCTTTAACCGTAAAATGACACTTTTCCCAATTTAGACCCAAAGATGTGCCTATACACAAGAAACTAACTTGAAGATCGCTCTACACAGTGATCCTTGGATATTCTCAAACTGAAAGTACATATCTTTTCCTTGAGCAAAACTCTAGGAAAATCTATGTCTCACGCCGTGTAAAATTTGATAAGCATGTGTTCGCGTTCACTAACCCAATCTTTCCATCTCCACAACTGAGCCCAAACACTCCATCTCCACCAAATACTTTCCATATAAACGTGGTTCTAATCAACAATCCACATCCACCTACACCTTTTTCACCACCTTCGCCACAACCGTCACTCGTACCATCCATCCCGCCTAGACCCCCGAGATCTGATACTAACCTACAAGCTAAGGATTAAACGGCATCACAGCATACACCGACAGAAGATGGTGCCTCTCTTACTCGCTCATATGATTCAAGAAGTGTATTGGCCTCTTCTTATTCAGGCCCACCTTCGTGTACTATAAGGTATGATAGAATACAAAAAGCTAATAGGGAAGAATCAAGGTTCAACTAGTGGAAGGTCTTCTCTAGTTGAAATGTCCTATGCGTCTTTGACGCGACAAACGTCTCCGTCACCTACTCCTCCACAACCTTCTCCGAAAACACTCACTTAATGATCACACGCCCGAAAAATCATATTCTTAAGCAAAATCCAAAATACAATGACCCGACTGCTCTCTTATGCAGCATTCCGGCTGAAACGCGAAAGGTGAATCAAGCTCTCAAATGTTGCCTTTTTCATGGAAATTGATGCTCTCTCTCGCAATTGAACATTTGATCTTGTTCCCCGAGAGTCTCATTTCAACGCTGTCGAATGTAAGTGGGTTTTTAAGAAGAAGTTTCTTTCTAATGGTTCTCACAACAAGTGCAAAGCAAGGCTTGTGGCGAACCGCTACAATCAACAATATGGCCAAGACTGTACCCTCAGTCCGGTGATCAAGTCTACCACCATCAGAATTTTTTTTGATAATGCGGTTACTAATTCATGGTCAATTCGATAGCTTAACTGTAACTTTTCTCCTTGCAACGTTGAATGAGGAAGTCTACATGGAACAACCTCTAGGTTTTATTGACATTAATAATCCTTCTGATGTGTGCATTCTTTGCAAACGTCGAGCGTGGTACTATGAATTTTCTGCTCAGCATTGTTTTTCATATTTCATTATCTTAAACGTCTATGTTTGTAATCAAATTTGGAGCTGCATTTGTCTATCTAGTGTATGTTGACGATATCCTCATCATGGGAAAAACCTAGCCCACCAAACCATGAATTCAGCGAACACTCAATCTCTGGGGTGAACGGTTCTTTGTTAAGCATGTTGAGGATCTAAATTACCTTTTGGCCATTGAAGCCCGACGAACATCAATCAGTTTCTATCTCTCTTGGGACAATTGCATACTCGACGTTCTAGACCTATATGGCATGGCAAACAAAACACCCAAGGTCAGACCAATGGCTTCTTCCATGAAATTAGCTCTCAATGCTGGTAAGCCTTTATTTGCCTAGTTGGAGTATAGTAAATTGGTCGGACGGCTACAGTGTCTAGCTTTCACACGCTTGGATATAGTTTATGCCGTTATTCCATTGTCTCAGTTCATGCATTGTCTAATGGAAGAACATTTGGCAATCTGCCAAACAGGTTTAACGATACCTTCCTGATAGACCAACACATGGTATTTTTTAGCAAAGAACAAGTTAACACTTCATGCTTTGTCAGATACTTACTGGACTAGAGACTCAGATGACTATGTTTCAACCAACTCGTATATCGTCTACCATGACAAACATCCAATCTTGTTAATATCTAAGAAACAAAATGGCGTAGCAAGATCCTCTAATGAAGTTGAATACATTGAATTGCGTATGTTACATACAAACTAAGTTGGATATGTAAGATTTTGATTGAATTCGGGATCTCGCTCCTAGTTCCACTGGTTGTTCATCGAAGTTACATTTCTATGTGCGAATCCGGTGTTTCACTCCCGGATGAAGCACATTGTTATTGAATACCATTTTGTCTGAGACCTAGTACAACAAGGAGAATTATGTGTCGCTCATGTAAACACTAAAGATAAATTAGATGATGCCTTGACTAAGCCTCTTTCACGTGAATGGTTAATTCTACTCAGAGACAAGATTGGGGTCGTTAGTGCCCCTCCATCTTGAAAAGGCGTGTAAGAGATATGACAATATGATTCCCATTTAAGTCATAATATTTGATTTGTATAGTTTAGGAACCTTGTGTAACTAGAATAACCTAGAGTGTCCACTCCTTACTTTGTATAAGTACACTATGTACAACACTTATGAATATAAGAAAACACATTCTCTTTATTTTTCTTATTTTTTCCTAAGTGAGTAAATATCATATAAATGAAAGTGGTTTACAATACATAACCTAGAGTACGAGCAATATAAACTTGTGTAATGATCTTAATGATTTACATCAATATATATAAATAATATAAGTTTTGCCATATATCTATATATCACAATACTTCCCTCAAGTTGAAGGAGAAACTACCCAACTAGGAAAATAAATAAAAAAACTGAGGACCTCCCAATGCCTTGGTGAAAATGTTTGCAACATGATCTTCTAAATGCACATACATTGGTATGATGAGGCCAGCTATTATCGAATCTCGAATATGATGACAATCAAGTTCATATGCTTAGTACTGTGAGACTCCAGTTTGTGGAGAGACCAAAGCTTTGTGTTCTAGATTTCACACCAATGATAATAATTAACACCAATGATAATAATTAACCCTCAATAATTATATATCGTTTAATAGTAACAGTCTTTTAGTATTCCCAAAGAAATAAAGAAAAAGTAGAAGAGAACTTAAAAAAAGAGAAAAAGCATTTTCAATGCATGCTTTTTTTATATATATAAATATCCTCTCTATTTTTTGTTAACTCGTAACTTAAAAGAAATCCGAAACGTCTCACTTGAAACTCACATCTAATAATGGCGACTAAAAACCTAAACCAAAGTGAAACTTCTTTAGGATCCCACGAGTCTTCTTCCTCCGAGGAGTAAGACGAAAAAACATCTGCTTCATCCACTACAACTGTTTATGAAGACACCTTGGGCTTGAAGGTGTAACCTTCTTCTCAATAAGAAGAAGAAGAAGATGAAAGTGGAGAGATAAGCTCCGAGGAAGAAGAAGAGGACAGTGGAGAGACAAGCTCCGAGGAGGATGAAGCGTCTTCTGAAGACGAAGAACCCACAAAGGAACAAACTCCGTCCAAACCCGAAATAGCCAAGGAGAAGGAGATTTCTTTTCGTAAGAGGAAGAAGACGAGAAAAGTGATGAAGACATCTCCGAGGATGACGAGGAAGAAGTTTCAATGAAGAAACAACAAACTCCTTCCATAGCTGCCGAGTTAGCTAAGGAGAAGGAGATCTGTGTTTTTGGCAAGGTACAAAAGCGTGTAAGTGAAGGGACTTCGTCAGAAGACATGAGTGCTGAAAAGAAAGTGAAACCGAGTGTAAAGAGATCTGTTCGTGCTCAAATGTGGAGCAAAGAAGATGAGTTGCTTCTACTGCAAGGAATCATTCATTGC